TTTGCGGTGCCGGTGTCCCCCGGCAGCTCTGCGCGTGTCTCTAGCACACGCAGGCATCGTTATCCCGCAGCGCTGCCTCCCCCCCGCTCCTCTCCCTTTTTTGCCATACCCATTATGGCTTGGACAGATCTCAGATCTCGTTCTGGGTCTACAGTTTAATGGCTCTAAGTTTGGTGATTCGTACGGTGCTTGCTGAAATCTCCCGCTTTTCCCTTTCATTTCACCAGACCCTGCTAGTGCCGGATGGAGCAGCCAGTGTTTCACGCGTGGAGATGCCATGCTTGGTTGTGTAAGCAGGTACTTCCCCTGGCAGTTCCCAGTGCTAGTGATAAGAGGGAGCTTGCTTACATCTCACTTTATTCTGGTCTGTAGATGCAACCCTGGCATTTTGACATGGACACACAAGCCATTTCCAAGAATACTTGGAGAATGTGTAAGTAATATTTTTTACTTAAAAAAAAATAAATCCTATTTTAGGGTTATGTGACACCAAACCAGAGCTGGACTTTCCAGTTCTGTAAATGCACATAATTCAGTGGAGGAGGTACAGGGGGTCCGGCAGACAGAGGGACAGAGGGTTCTTTTGCTGTCACTGGTGTAATGGAGAAGAAAGTAGGAACCACTGGGATCCCGGGTCCCTAAAAGTCCTGGGTTTAACTTCTTTGCCTTTCCACAGCAGAAAGTTCTTGGATTCCCTGGGACTCCAGTAAGCTCTTTAGGATGGTTCCAGTAAGCTCTTCTGGTCTTTCTGGCCAGGAAGAAACTGGTGACATCCCTAACTACAGCACAGTGCCAGGGCCTTTCCCATGTTTCAGTCAAGCCAGTGCCTATGTCCCTACTTTTCTGTGGGCTCAAGGTAAAGTAGGAGTAGAAATGCCTGGCACTGTGCACACCTCTCACTATCCCCTCCAAAATGAACATTTTGCCTGTGTCCTGAGTCCCAGCGGCAGAAGAAAAGTGGAGGTAGTAGCACAGCAAGTGAAAGTGAAGCACAGAGACTTCCTCCTCTTGCAGTGTTATTTTACTTCCCCCAAAAAAAAAAAAAAAAAAAGGCATTTGGAGTGGAACATCGTGAGAAATCAGGCAGGAAGGGCCTGCCTTTGGTTCCCACAATGGGAGTTCAGAAGGGCTGGTCCTAAGTGGCTGTTTCTTCTTCCTCCTCCTCTTCCTCTCCCTTTGAAGCATGGATTTTGTAGATGACAGCACAGATGCCAGCCAGCCAGGCTGTAATGGTGCCAGCAAGGAATATGCAGAAGCCAACGAGGCACAGAAAGACATAGTCTGTCTTGTGTAGCTGGGTCAGGCAGGTGAAGTGAAGCTGTGCCTCCACTGCCTGCATCCTCAGGGCTCGCAGGCCTTCTGGGGTGTAGCAGGTGATGTTGTCAGCATCTGCAGAGGGAGAAACAGAAGCAAGACTCTCCAGCCTGTGTGTAAAGCTTTAGTGAACAAGAGTCCTGCTGGAGAAATAGTGGAGGAGTTTGCTCAATGCCTGAAAAATGTATACACACTTCACACCCCTCTGTCTCAGTGGCTTGGGTGAAATCTGAACAGCCAAACCCATGCCAAATCCATGCTAAACCCATGCCAAACCACAATTCCTGGGTTGCCAGAATGATTTCTGTGGTGTTGCCTCCGTAGGAAGATACTGCCCACTGGATTATGGCACTGCGGCAAACTGCTGTCCCTGCACTGCTCACCTCTGCTGATCAAGCACTTTCATCTTTATGTGAGAGCAATTGTGTGTGTTGGTTTTCTCATTCTCAAACACATTCTGAAGTGATACAGCCCAAATTATGCTGGAATAATGAGGCTGCTGCTCATTTGACAACTAGGGTGGTTTGCAGTTAGGCACAGCCTTGCCTGCTCTGTGAGAGAGGCAGAGGCAACTCATCAATGATTCAGTTCCACTGAAATAACAACTATGCCCTGTCATATTGAATACCTGCAGTGATAAAATAGGTGCTGCCTGTTCCCTCTCAGGTTAGTGAAGGGTGAGTGTGGTGCCTTATGGAAGCTGGATGTGCCCTCAGCCAAGGCCCTCTCCTTCCTTTGCAGGTTTGGAACCCCCCAGACACTGCGCTGGACACAGGCTGGGCACTGCGTGGTGCACTGGATGGAAGAGCCTCAGGAAAAGGGAGCAGTGGAGGGGAATGAGCCACGGGAGACTTATATCCCATGATGTTATATTGTATATGGCTGAGCGACATCACTGCTGTTCACACTGATCTTGCTAATGGTCCTGGGTAAAACTTGAGAGCTCTTATCTCTCTTTTACCCAAATCCATCCAAATTCGGGCAGCTTTGTGTCAGCCCCCAGGCTGCACAGATCCAGCTGAGCCCCAAAAATGCGTGCACAGGTGTTTGTGAAGCATCAGTAGCTTTTTGAAGACCAAGGTGGGGATCTTCTTGCAGCAGATTCCAGGGCTCTGTTCCCATGTCCCTTTGCACTGGATCCATCAGCTCCTGGAACAACCCTCGGTTTAGGGCTGCCTTCCCTGCCCATGTGTTTGTGATACAGGGTGTCCATTCAGTGTGTGCTTTCCAGCAGCCCTCCTGGAGGCACACAGCCTCCTGTGGACTCTCCCACAGCATCTCACCAGGACAGAGCAAAGCTCAGCAGAGCAGGGAAGTGAACCAGCCTCATTGGCTTCCTTGGTTTCTTTGGCTTTCCCGTTTTCCAGAGCACGGGGTAGGGATCTATACTCATACCTTCCAGTCTTTGCTGTCACTGCCTTTCCTGCTCCTACCCTCCCCAGTTGGCTTCAATGAGCTTTAATCTCCTGTTGCAGGGTTCAGTGGGTTATCTCTAATCTCACTGCAAAGAACTGTACTTTATTACACTGTTCCATAACTGCTTGTAACCTGTATGTGGAAAAAAACCACTTTACTGCCTATAGGGAGCTTACTACATCTAATAAAGACATAGAGATGTCTTTAATTTGGTTCTTTCCTAACACCAGCACCCCTGGTTTGTGCAACAGCACAAGATGGAGCCCTCAGATGACATGCAGTGGCACAGCCCCATAAACTGAACTTTGGGCAAAGATAACAGAGGGCCCTCTCCGTTCCACACAGATCTGTGGGAGGAGGGAGGAGAGAGGTTCTGCTCACACAGCCCTCACCTGGAAAATGAATGTTGCTCTCTGTCATCCAGGTGATGAAGTCCAAAAAGGAACAGTTGCAGTGCCACAGGTTGTCACTGAGCCCCAGAAACCTCAGGTTGGGCAGGTCCCGGACGGCGCTGGTGTCCAGGAATGTTAAGCCTGTCCGGCTCACATCCAGGTGCCTCAGCCAGGTGTTGTTGGCAAAAGCATCCTTCTCAATGGCCACAAGGTTGGGATTGTCTGAGATTTTCAGCACCACCAGGCTGAGGAGGTGTGAGAAGGTGCTGAAGGTGACCTGGGTGAGGTTGTTGAAGCTGAGGTCCAGATAAACAAGCTTGGCCACACCAATGAAAGTGAAATCCAGGTCATCCCCCAAGAGGTTCTTGCTGCAGTCCAGGTACACCAAATCAGCTAGGAAGCTCAATTCCACTGCCGGCAGGTACGAGACATTGTTTGCCGCCAGAATCAGCTGCCTGGTGTCCAGAGGGATATCTGCAGGGAACTCCTGGAACTGCTGCCCGGTGCAGTTCACTTCCAGGTACTGACAGCTACACCTGCTTGGGCAGTTGATCCTCTCTGATGCCATTCCCATCCCCAAAAGAAACATGAGGCTCAGGGGCCGTGGTCTACCCGAAGGAGACATGGTTTGAGACATTCCAGGCCGCTCAGCCCTTTGGGGGCTGTGAGCTGCCCTGTGAAAGCTGCGCTACCCTCACAGCCAAGCCGAGGACGTGTCCGGCTGCAAGGCTGTTGGGAAGCACTTTGTGTCCGTGTCTCATCTGACCCCTTGGCAGAGTGCCCAGCTGGAAACTGAGCCTGGTTTTTACATCGGCAAGTGTGGAACAGTGGCTGAAGCGTCTCTGCCAGGTGACACCTCCGTGATGTCAGTGGCTTGCAGAAGCTGCCTGCTTTCGGGGACAGTGCTGTGACCTTGCTGACCTGCCTCCAGCTGAGTGGAGGTGTGGGAAGCTGTGTGTGGGATAAGAGCACTGAAACTGTGTAGGGAGAGCAGCGAACAGTGCAAATTTTGTCAGAAATGGTGTCACACTGCAGTAGGTGCCCACTGGTTACTGATTAGGAAAGAGCCCCATGCAATGCTGCACTGGATTGGCATCATCTTATTGCAGGAGCCAGGAGGTTCTTGTCCCACCTGGAGTGCTATGTCCAGGTCCAGGATCCTCGGCACGAGAAAGATGTGGACCTGCTGGAGTGGGTCCAGAGGGGCCATGAAGATGCCCAGAAGGCTGGAGCAACTCTGGCAAAGGAAGGGGACTGGATGAGAGAGCTGGGGCTGTTCAGCCTGGGGAAGGTTCTGGGGAGACCTCATTGCAGCCCTCCCGTACTTATTACTTAAACCTTATCCAGGGCTTATGGAAACAAGGGAGTTTTTATACAGGCAGATGGTGATAGGACAAGGGGAAATGGTTTTAAACTAAAAGAGGAGAGGTTAAGATTAGATATTAGGAAGAAATTATTCTCTGTGAGGGTGGGGAAGCACAGGTTGCCCAGAGAAACTGTGGCTGCCTCATCCCTGGAAGTGTCCAAGGCCAGAGTGGACGGGGCTTGGAGCAACGCGGTCTAGTGGGAGGTGTCCCTGTCCACGTCAGGGGGGTTGGAACGAGATGATCTTCAGTGTCCCTCCCGACCCCAACCCCGCAGTGATGTCCCCTCGGCCCTCCGCTGTCAGCCGCGTCCGAACGCACCGCGCTGGCCCCGCCCCTCCCCGCCCCTCCCGGCCAACGGCCGCCGCGGGGGCGGGGCCTCCACAACCCACGCCCCGCCCTCCCCGTGACGGCGCGGCCGCGGATAGGGCAGGGCCTCCCCAATCCCCGCCCCTCCGGCGGCGGTGCGGCCGCTGATAGGCCGGCGGGCGGTGCGCGGCGCATTCAAGCGGCGGCGCGGCCGTTGTGTCCGGGCTGTGCCTTCTCCTCCGCCGCCATGGAGACCATGACCTTCCCCCGCTACAGCCCCGACGAAATCATCGACTCCCTCCGCACGTACGTCCTGACGGGCGCCGAGGGCCGAAACCTGGTCAAGAGCGACCTGTTCGGCACCCCCAAGGTGGGTGAGGCGGCGCGGGGCGACTCCGCGTGTGTCCGTCCCCCATCCCCGTGTGTCATAGGGCGCTGCCCCGGCCCGTGTCACCGCTGGGTGGGTGCTCCGGGGTTGGTTTGGAGTCCCGGGGCTCTCCTCGCCTCTCGGGCCTCGCCAGGAAGTGGGGGTGGTGTCATCACAGTACCCGGCCTGTCTTTCCCAGTTCTGTGGGAACTGGGTTAAAATAGCCGCAGTGGTTGGTAAAGTCTCGTAGTTCCAACAGTTTGGCTGATAAATCAGTGCTTTAAACCGACCCCGGCTTCTAAACCCATCCCTGCTTCACCCTCTTTCTTCTGGTGTCGCTCCGACCATTAATGTTGCTGTTAATGAGTGTCCTCGGGGGAAGAAAAGTGGCTTTAAAGTGGAATTGATGCCTCAAGGTGGCTCCCTGTGCTTGTGCCTGTGGAGGGAGGGGTCTGGCCCTAATTACTTAAGAAATGACAGGATGATGGTTTTTAAGAAACAAAATTGATAATGGATTAGAGCTATAAATGAAAAACTATTTGGCTTATAGGTATTTTTTTTTTCTGCTCATTTTAATATTGTGATGAAGGGCACTCTTTGCTACAAGATTATAGTTTCTGTGACTTTTTTTTTTTTTTTTTTTTAGGTTTTTGGTGTCACTTGGTTTGAAAACTGCTCAATGAGCAACAAAGTAATGAAAACTGGGCCTGGCATACATAGTCATGGCTGTACTTGTCTGAGCTACCTGCTGTCCCTTAAAACTGAATCACGAGCAAGTATTGCTTGAACTGCAAAATACTGAAAAGTGAAACTTATTTGTCTTGGTGGCTCAGTGAAATCGGCCTCCCTGTATTAAAGGCTGAACTAGTTTTATGGCCTAGCCTGGGAGCCCTGAATAATCAAACATATGGAATACTGATTCATGTCCTTTCTTCCTGCAGCTTGACGTTTTACACCTGATTTACATGAGAATCCTGCAGAAGGTGTATGCAATCAACATGGAGCACTTCTACGTGGTATGGCTGTGGTGGCAGGGTAATGGAATGTGAAAGGAAAAGAATATTGTCTTTAACAAGTGTTGAAGTTTCTCACTAGCAAACGGCAAGCAGCCTGGTGTTTTGTGTGTTGTAATTGCAGCAATGGGAGCTTAGGAATTCTGCCTCTTTTGCAGAAAACTTGTTTGTGAAGCACCATGGGCATTTGAGTTTGTGTTCAGGGCAGTTTCTTAGACAGGAATGGGATTGCAGTACTGCAGCACAGCCATCGGCATGGCTCGTTAACCAGAGGTAAATGAACCCGGGAGCATCATCTGTGGGCTGTTGCTGAGGCCTTGAGAAGTTGCTTTGGTCATTGCTCTTCATCTGGATAATTAATTTCAGTTCAAGATACCTGTAGGAATAATGGTTTTGTGGCTGTGCTGCCTCTAGGTTTGCTTTTTTTTCTTTTTCCATGGAAAGTGGACTCCCTGCTTCACTACAGAAACTAGTGGGCATGAAGAGGAGCTCACTTACCTCTGTAGCCTGTGAGGACAGGCTTTGGAGAGCCCTCTCCTTTTGTGGTTAGGCTGTGAATTTTGTTATTTGAGATGCTGAGGGTGCCAGAAAGGTCTGTAAAGTCCAGGAAGAACCGGACAAGCTTAAGTAGGGACACCATGTCCAGCCTTGAAAATACATACTGTGTCCTTGGGCAACTGCCTTTGCCCACAGCTGGAGGAGGTTGGACTGATCTAGAAGGAAAGTAAATAATTGCTTTTAATATTTGATCATCTTCATTCTCCATTAACTGAGAGGAAAGTAAGGAGAGGCTGATAAGTCATAGTGAACAAGGTACTTGGTCTTCTGTCTATGTTAGGCAAGAACTGATGCCTGAAAATGAGAATAAATAATGCTGTCTCATGGCATTTTTGGATATGCTCTTCCCTTTCACTTTATGTGCACAAGGTAACTGTTCTTCACAGGGCATGACATTAGCTGGGGTACTGTATTGTGAGATTTAAAATATAAGAAAAATGTGACAGTGTACCACTACTTTCTCATTTTGACTTCCTCATAAAACAGTTGAGTGTGTCAATTTTGACGTGTTTAAAGAAAAAGCTTCTTGCTGGTAGGTGTGTAATGCAGAGGCTGTTGTCCTGCACCAGTTATGAACAAATGAAAGCAGATTTTAGATTGAATTCCAGAGTTTGTAATGTTGCTGCTTTAGTTGTTGTTGTCTTGTATGTTTTTCAGCCAAAAATGACAGTGATTAACCTGATGACACTTTTCAGCCTTTAATATATGTTCCCTGTGGATGGGAAGACGATCCTCAGAGTGTGTAACCTGTTGGAATTATCTTATGCTGTGGAAACCTGTGTAATTTTTGTTATAAGTATTCTCTACTTATGCACTGACTCTCTTTACTCTTTAGATGCCAGTCGACGTTGACATAATGTATCCACAGATATATGATGGCTTTCTACCTGTCTGCAATTTGTATATTCACATGTAAGTAAAAGATGCTGCATCTGTTCAGTTGCCATTTTTTGTAAAAGTCCAAGTTTTTAAAAGCTTTGGGGTTTTATGCCTTTGTGCTGATGGTGATTCCACTGCTTGCTGGCTTTGAGCAAAGTGAAATTTGCAGATGAACAGGGGGCAGCAATATTTGATAGAGCAAAATTCCTGTCTTGTAAAAATGAATGGGTTAAATAATCCAGCCTCACCAAGCTGGAGCACAGATCCATACTTGGAGTGGCTGGAGGGTCATCATTACCTAGAGCAGAGATCTTATGTTCCTGTTGTGTAAATTTGCTGTCTGAAGTCTATTGGAATCATGTGAGTGTTAGACTTTAAGCTTTATTTCAGTTGTAAGGGGAGAATAGACTAATAGTTAGGTGTGGGAGTTCCCTAATTAAGCTGAAAAGTTGTTCTTCAGGCAAGTATTTTGTCAGTTGAAATATGAGATGCTGTAAGAATGCAAACTATTAATGCTGATCAGTGTGTGGAGTCCTGCTGTGTTACTCTCCTGAGCCTTGTGCTTGCAGTGCAAATGCTCTGGGACGAGAGGACAAGATATGTTTTGTAGTAAGTGGCTATGGCACAAAAACTGAGTAATGGTCACCACAGATGAGGTGTGTCTTGTTTTCCTTGCAGGGAGCACTTGCTGCCGGTGTGCCGGATTAATGATTTCCAAATTGCTGATATTTTAAACCCAAGTAAGCAAGTGCATTATAATTCTTGGGTTTCCTGGAGTGGGGGGTGTTGCTTGATATCCAGGTGCTTTTTCTTATTTGGTATAACCAGATAGACATATAGTATGGTCCCTGGGTTCCAGCTCCTCTTCTGACCCTTGTTGTGACCCTTTGACAAGTTGGTTCTACAGACCAGTTCTTATTCCTTTTGTAGGCTGATACAGGTCAATAACTGAGGGCAGTTGTAAATGCTATGAGTCTGTTGCACTGCTGGTCTGGAGAGTGGACTGTGACACTTAAAATAATGTAAGAATAGATGGTAATGAAAATTACTCTGACAACTTTGGAACTCTGTAGGATTTCTTATGCTGATGCCTGTGTAGGATTTTTGCTTCACCCTTTCAAGCACCCAGCTGACTCTGCTACAACACAAACAACTTGGACAAGGTTGTTGTGAAGAACTCTTTCACTTCTGGATCTGTCTTGAATAAAACATATTTTAATAATCTTTCACATTGCTTAGAATAAACCCAAAAAGTCCCTGCAGTTCAAATTGCTGCCTTCAGTTAGTCTGAGAGTTACAGAGAGGTTATCTCTTCGGAGTTGTAGTTCAAGACTGACACTCCTTCTCCCTGCCTTCTGTTTTAATGGGAGGCTGTGTGTTAACAGTCTTTTGCCCAGGTGCCATTATTCATTTGCTGAACTGGACAGAACTGCTAAGAGTTTCCAACTAGCTTGGTGCTAGTTTTTGTGTAGTCTGAAAATCTTTCCAAGGTGAACAGGGGAAGAACTAATTTGAATGCTGTTTTGTAATTTCTACCTCTTCTCTGAATTATATTTTGCCCAAGTTTTCATAAGCAGTTGCAATGCATGTGGAAACCAGCACAGCGATATCTTGCAATTCCTATTTCAGAAACAAAGAGGACTGTTCGCTTCTTGAGTGGCATCCTTAACTTTGTAAACTTCAGAGAATTCCGGCGTCAGGTCTACTTGGAGTTACAACTGAACTATGTAAGGCTGGGTGCTGTGTTACTCCAGATGCCTATTTCAGTATAATTAATGTTAACCTAGAAATGGGAGCATAAAGGTTGTGGTTTAACTTCATGTTTATGTAACATGTTGGAATTTTAAATGTAGCCAAGTAGTACAGGAAGGTACCAGTTACTACTTAAGATATTACTGAAAGGGTTTTTTTTTTTCTCAATTATTTGATAGTTTAGCCTGGTAAGTGAAGGATTGACACTTTGCATTGTTTTGAGAAAAGATGGGTGCAACGGTCAGTGGGCTGAAGCTTGAATTGTAGGTGGCTTCTCTTCTGGATATCTCAGCAGTTCAGAGATGCATTTCATGCGAAATAATGATGAGCAAAGCTAACAGAAGCTCAGAGAGAAGTTATATTCCTCTAAAATAAAAAATATCTGAATATTTAATTTGTAGAAAACAGTTCTGGAGAAACACCAGCAACTGGAGGCTGCGAATCGTGAGGCAGCCATGAAGCTGGAGAAACTGAAGTGAGTATGAGGAGTAAGCACCAGGAGAGGCACTGCTTGACTTGCCTGTTCAGGCTGGATCAATGGGACAATGCCAGTTGTGTGAGGTTCAACAAGGCCAACCAAGTATGGAGTCCTGCTCTTGGGACACAATAACTTTGTTCAATCCTACAGTCTTGGGGAAGAGGGGCTGGAAAGCTGCTGGACAGAAAAGGACCTGAGGGTGCTGATCAACAGCAGATGAACATGAGCCCAGGTGGGCAAGAAGACCAGTACCTGGTACCTGGCTTATGTCAGCAAAAGTGTGGCCAGCAGGACCAGGGCAGTGATTGCTCCCCTGTGCTGGGCACTGGTGACACCACAAATCCTGGGTTTAGTTTTGGACCCCTCACAACAAAGACATTAAAGGGCTGGAGTCTGTCTGGAGAAGGGCAGTGGAGCTGCTGAAGGATCTGGAGCACGGCTGAGGGAGCTGTGGGTGTTTATTCTCTGTGGGCAGAGAATGAAAATGAGTTTGGGAATATATGGCTGGTTTGAGAGAATCCTGTTATTTGTATATTGGGGACTAGGGTGAAACTTTTTGCTGTTACAGTTAGTTTCTAATGATGTCTTTATCTCTTTAGTAGCTGTAGGAAGCCCATTTTTAACTTAATAGATGGGTAAAGTCATCTTCCTTAGTTATTTGACATGTTTGCCACAATCTCTGTTTCAAGCCATTTAGTCCTGCTGCCTGTGTCTTTGCACCATTAAGTTTTGTTTTTGTTTGTGGGTAATAGGATGAAGAGATGGCTAGTTTCCAAGATAGCTTTCAAAACAAAGTGTTTTTTTTCTGACAGCTGCTTTTGGTGTGTGCTACACAGGAGGTTTTCTAGCTAGTATAGGTCTACCTTGATACAAGCTGTTTCTGTGGCAGGTAATATTATTCAAATTTCATAAATGAAAATCACCACAAAAATTGATGGGAGTGTTGTTCTTTGTGCTTTGCTTAACGTGATCTTTGAACTTAGTCCTCTTTTGTGCTTGTACCACTTCTTGCCAAAATAGCCCTTTAGATTATGCTTCAAAGTCTTGCAAGCAAAGGAAAATAAGATGTATTAATTTGAGACCGTCTTGCTCTGTTTACTAAAGTTACTGACTGTAAACTCTCTGGAGAGAGTGATTGTTGCATCTACTGTACTCTGGCTTGACTGTAACGATGCTGAAGCTGTGCAATATCTTTATTTCTCACTTAGCACCGTTCCAGCTGAACATCAAGAAGAGGTCAAGCAGCTGACAGAGAGCATTCGGGACCTGGAGCACCTGCTAAGGCAAGACTATCGCCGCAAACAGGTATCATCTTGTTAGAGATTTCTCTGAAACTCTGCTATGACTTTGAATTGTAGTTGTTCCTCACTTCTGTTGATTTTGTTCCCTTACCTGTAACACAGAGGGTAAAGGAGACTTTTCTGACTTAAAGGTCGTTGCAACACAATGCTGTGTCTGGCCCCTCTTCATTTTGCTTTAAGGAATGTGAAACATTCTTGAAATCAGACTTGGGGAATACAAAACTATATTTGACTCTTTCTTTTGGAAATGACTTGGGAGATACCTGTGTTAGTATTTGGAACTGTGATGTGTATTTTTCCCTTTGTTTTCCATCTGAATTTAGAGAATTGGAACAGGAGGTGAGCCACGGTAAGAAATGAGGCCTAAGAAGGGTTACCCAAGGGAATGCCTGGCAAAAAGAGTGGGGTAGTGGGGTTAATTGCAGGGGTAACTTTTTAGCAAGTTGGAAACTTGCCTCTAAGGTCTCATGTGTAACCTTTTCAGCTTCTTTGGGGGGGGAGGGGGGAAGTAATAATCTGTGGTTAGGGTTTTTTATGTCAAGTCATGTCTCTGCTATTAATATTATTAACCATTATTAACCATATGCTTGACTTCTATATTATTTGGAACCTTAAATTAGATTTTTTTTTTTCCTGAAGAACAGGGCCTCTGTCAAAGAAGGTTGTGGGGGGTATAATAATGCTAGGGTCAGTAGGAATAGAGGTAGTCAGTCCTATCCCTGTTCCTAGTTACCTACTGCTGGCTACACCCCAATGCTCCCAGTGGCATTTGCAACAACATCCTTCCTTCCTGTCTTTGCAGTCTGATAGACTGCAGTTTTGTCTGCTGGTTATGACACTCCAAAGGACCCATAAATGGGATTTCTCCTGTAGACAGGTCTGATAGAAAGGTAAAACAGGTAACAGTTGCAGAGATGCTTATTTAAAGCTTGTTGTTTTTTTAGACAGCTCTGCAAGAAGTGATTTCACAAAAGAAGATGGATATTGCTGAGAGTACCCGAAAACTGGTGAGTACACCTCTGTGTAGGGGCAGGATGTAGCTTCCATCTCAGATCAACTAGTAGATCATCTCTCTTTCTAGGATAAAATTATTCTTGGAGCTAGGTAACTTTCAGGTGGTGATCATTACTTTTCTAAAGAAAATGATTCAGCTTAATTTTTCCCTTCCATGGGAGCTTTACTGCAGTAGCTGGTTTTGTTGTTAACTTTAAATACACATCTCTACAACGTCAAGCTCTCTGTGTTCAGGAAACTGATAAAAGGGCAAGATGCCATGGGCTTACCTTAAGTGCACAAAGTGGGCTAATGAGGCAGCACTGACCTGGTGGAGACAAAACAGGAGGTTTTGAGAGGTTGCACAGGAAACTTTTTGCTCTTCTACCAGGCTAATAGAGCTGGTTCTGAAACCCTCCAGTGACTGCCTTGGTTTCCCTAGGTAAGGTATTCTGAAGGAGAGTTGGTAGTAGTACACCAGGCTGGATGGGGCTCTGAGCACCCTGGTCTGTGGAAGGTGTCCCTGCCTATGGCAGGGGGTTGAAATGAGATGATATTTGAGGTCCCTTCTAACCCAAACCATTCTAGGATTAGCTGGCAGACTTCTTGTGGAGTACTAGTTAACTGCAGTTCTTGTGACTCAGTATTTGCACCCCTGTGAGCAACTTAGGGAAACAAAATGGACTGTTATCTGCTTTGAAATGTTAGTGCTGTGTAGAGGAATTTATTCTTAAAACCTCTTCATGAGGAATGACTACAGAGCAAAGAACCTGTCTAGTTATAAGATCCTGGCAAACAATGCTATACAATTCCTCTTTGTTCACCTAATTGCTAATATTGAAAGTGTGTTTGTCTTGTTAACCAGAATGACCTTAAAGTGGCTATGGCTACTTTGAAAGAAGAACAAGAGCAGCTGAAATCAAAAATTGTGGAGAGTCCAGAGGAACTGAAAAATTACAAAGAACAGATGAAAGAGACTGTTAAGAAACTGAAGAAATCCAAGGTGAGGTCTTCCTCTGTCCACACAAGGAGGTATTCTATTAGAAAAAGCACATGTTTTACTGAACTGTCATCATCTAGAACTGCTTTTTGAATGACATGTAGTAAAACATCAACAGAACAGTTGTTAGTCTGAAATGAAATCATAACTTCAGAGAACTGAAGGTTCAAGATGGAGTTGGTTGTTTATTTTTGATTTTTTATTTGTTTGGTTTTGGTTTTTTTTTTTTTTTTGCTTGTGCTGGTGGCTTCTTCTTTTAAGCAGGATTGCAGTCAGTGCTGCTTTTTCCTCAACGAGTAATTGTTTATTTGTGAGGCTAGATTAAAACTCTTGAATCTGTAATGTACCTGTCTGGCTGTTTGCTCTCAAGAGATGACAATATTTGATAGCTCCCAAATGCCTTTGGATTTAGGATATGTGCTTGGTAATGGTTCTGTTATCATTCACTGTTTTTGGAATTGATGGCTGTCTCCACTAGTATGCTAATCACTGAATTCCCTTCCTAGCTTTTTTTATTTTATTTTAATGTCCAGTCTTTTAATTTTTGTGGTTCATGATTGTTCATACCTCTGTAGGTATCTTTGTTCCAAAGGTGTAAACTTTATTTCTGTAATTCGAGGTATCTGCTCTTCTGATACTTTATGAAACTCTCATTTTACCAGTATAGAATTTCTTCACTGTACTAGTTAGTTTGGTGTAAAACACTGTGATTCCAAATTTATTTTTTTTTTTTACAAACTTAATATCTCATTTCAGTAACTGTTAAATATTACTTCTAGTGTCTGGTAAACAATGAGAGTATGAATATAAAAGTCAATATGCTTTAATTCTATATAAAATAACTCCAAAGCTGTTTATTAATAGTCTTTTCTCTTTAAAGGAAGAAATTACTCAGAAATATGAGAGTTATAGAGACTTAGTTGAGATTCTGCCATCATGCCAACTGGAGGTGCAGTTATACAAAAAGAAGATGGAAAGACAAGGAGCAAATGTGGAGAGACTGGCCAGTGTATTATCAGAGGTTTGTATTATCCAAAATTACATCTGATTAAAGTGAATTTAATGTCTAAGTAAGACAGGTGATCATCAGTAGATGTCTGTACTGTGAAAGTTTCCATCTCTCCTCTTCCCTGGAAAGAAGGAATTTGGAAAACTTGAAAATGTCATTCTTTATAATGTCAGTAAAACATTGCTGCTGCTTTGCTGTGTGGCACTAGCTAATGTACTATGCACTAGCTATTGACCACTTTGAATAGTCAAAGCCTTGGTTGCCATAGAAACCTGACCTAAAATAGTTTGAACTGTCTTGGGGTTGTTGGTAAGAAATGATGGAAGAAGAAGAGTGAAATCAAGTTTCTTCTGCCTCGAGAGTGGAAACTAAGAGCAAAAAAATTGCTACTTCAGGAAGAGTCATGTCTTAAGTGCCCTTATTAATATTACTGAGGCAGACATTCTGTGATGAAGTGTTTGTCACAATACAGTACCTTGCTATTTGCTACTTGGTTTTGGGAGAATGCAATTGTTAGGAGCATTTGAAAAATGCTGTGGAGTCTTTTTGGCTATTTGTATAGCATGTGTTCCAATTACCCTTGGCAAAGAGTTAGCAGAAGTCATAGTAACTTCTGAAAGTAATTTTAAGTAATGGGATCTTGTCCATTTGGATGTATTTATAATCAGATAAAGAACTGGTATTTCACTGGGAGAATGAGTTAGCAGTCATATTTCCAAAAAGGAGCAACCTAGTTCTAATCTTAGTACACTAACAGGGAATGTTATCTTGATTATTTTTCCCTTATTGAATTTATTTCTGTCCTTATGTACTCCAGGTCAGAAATATTGAGGACCGGAGTGACAGTGCTCAGATAGAGCTGAAAAGGGTGAAGACAGATGAAATGTCCCTAAAGAGACTGGTCACTGCAAAACGCGAGGCGCTGGCTACGATTGAGCTAAAGATGCAAAAGAAGCATGAAGATGCTGAGCAGCACAAGTGCACTGTGCTTGAGTAAGGATGAGCTGATGTTTCTGCCTGATGCTGCTTTATGTCTTCTTTATGTGCTGCCAAAGTTCACGTCTGGTACAAACACACAGCTTAGCAGTAAGAAGAAAATGAGCAGTGTGGGACAGCTTTGTATGAAGACCAGTGATGCTTCAGGCAGGGACTTGGGGTCTCAAATCAATAATTGCAATGTGACTTGACAGCAATTCTTTTATTGGAGCACTAATTTAATTTATAATGCTTATTCTTGATTCTTTTATCTTCTTAAAGAGAATGTCACATTGGGATAATTTTCCAACTTATCAGACTTCAACAAAGCCCCATTTGCCTTTCATGAATTTTTCATAATTTCCCTTGCCACTTTTGCTCATTATCAAAGATGTTCGAGACCCATGGGGAAATGGGGCTCTCATCTTGGAGGAGCATTATCCTGACATGATGCTTCTGAAACAAAAGGAAAAGTGTCATTTGATCAAAGCCTCTCAGCCCCTCTTCCTTCCTACCGTATGCTAAAGGCAGGTTGCACGGCCGTGTTTGCAGCACGTCAGTCACTCCTGCAGCAGCAAACTGCAGCCTTGTAAGGTCATGACTTCACTGTGAGATTAGAAGAGCTGAACTGTTACAGAGAATTTATTATATAACAATTCTTTTTTTTTTTTTGTACATGGATAGGAAAGGGAATGTGAAAAATTATTGGCTGAGTAGATTAACTGTGACAGAAGAGAGCTTCTTCCACAGAACTGAGAGAGTCAAGGAAGATTTAGTCATGCTTAAGGTTTGTGTGGTCTGTAGAATGGCAGAAATATTCCCAGGCTGCCTTTGCTCCCTATTTAGTGTGTTGTACCAGCTAAAGGAGATTATTTGGAAGGAAAATAGGTTGGACATTAGGAGGAATTTTTTCACAGAGAGGATGGTTACAAATTGGAATGGTCTGCCCAGAGAGGTGGTGGAGTCAGTGGCCCTGGAGGTACTTAAGGAAAGACTGGATGTGGCACTTGGTGTCTGTCAGAGGTTGGACTTGGTGATCTCAGAGGTCTTTTCCAACCCAACTGATTCTGTGGTTCTGTGATAAAGAACAAAAAATAATATAATCTAATGCTTCTTTATGTCAAAAGTTGCTGCTGATTTCTGGTTTTAATGTGGTAGGTATTTCCATTGAGTGATAAAATTAGATACTTTGATAAGCAAGGGGGGAAGGGAGGTGACCTTAGTTTGAAGATAAGAGTTTTTTTGGTGAGTGAGAGAATGTGTCCTGACTGTTCCCTTGAGGTAGGAAGGTGTAAGTGGGCTCTTGCTAAGTATGAGTTATTTCAGCCATTCTTTACAGAAGGCTGTTACTACAATTCCAGCTGTAATTATTGTACAAATGCTTAGGGCAAACTGGTAGGTGGGTTTTGCACTTGAAGTCAGAGTAGATCCCCTGTTCCCACACTCACCCTTTGCTGATGATGTGGCAACTCACAGCTGGAGCTACTTGGATCTACCTGCGTGCTGGGGAAATATTATTTGGTCCTTGGGACACAGTGGAATGATGGACTGGAAGTTGCAGGTGACAGCTGTATATGTATGGGATTAGAGTTTGGTGGGATGGGATCTAGGGCTAATGAAAATATGTGACATCCAGTTATGCTGAAACATCAAGTGCAGCTGTGTTGCTTTTAACCTGCATCACTCAAAGACAGTGTCCAGCTGCTTGTTGGGTTTGCTCCACTGAGGTCACTTGAGTTGCCTTGATTGACAGCAACTGAGGATCTTCAACATCCTCCTTTAACTCCACTTTGAATTTCCCTTCTTGTACATAAGTTGTTCTAGTTTAAAAATTGGGTTAATTTCCAAGCAAGTAAATTCTACACATTGTTTCTAGAAGCTGCTAGTTTCATGCTCCTAAAATGCAAGCTTTGCTCGTGGTGGGGTTAAATTTAATCTGGAATTAGTCAAATGGCTCAGTACTATCTTTTTTCTCTCACCTTTAGATATTGTAACAAAGTCCAGGAGAAGAGGGGTGCTGTATATGATAAAGTGATGGCCATTCACAAGGAAATCCAACAGACGAGGTACAAAATTGAGGAGATGAAGGAGAATGCTGGCCAAGAAGCAATGAAAGCCAAGGTGAGGTTTCTTTACCCCCTCCCCACAAAGGAATCCTCTTTTTCGTAAAAAATCAAAACTGATTTTTAACTTGAGCTGTGTAGATAAAGGAACAGTTACTGTAGTATGGGCAGTACAATAATCCTCTCAACAGCCTCTCTCAAACACAGGACCATTTGCCATATCACAAATACTTTCTTCCTAGAGTGTTATTAAGATGTCTGTCCAACTCAGCTTTGGAAAGAGGCAGAAATCCTGATGGGTTGAGAGTAAGGGATTACAGCCTGTAGCATCTCATCCTATCTGTTCATTACTGAAGTACTGTCCATGCTGGGAGGGCAGTGGTAGCAGTCACAGTGGCAGAGACCTTGGTGACACAGGTTAACACAGAATGGGGCAAGGAGTGGTGTGAATACTGGGCTAGTGATGTTTGCTTGACCAGTGTTGTAACCACTAGAGTTTCAACAGAATTGCAATAATGAGATTGTGGCTGCTCTTATTTTTCTGATGTGTTGTAACTCCTCTGTGTTTTGTGGGTGCTGCTTCTTAAGCCAGGGACTAGATACCTTTGAAATCACTTGAGTCCACAACATCACTCACTTAACATTTACACTTGATAAGGATTTAACTTTGCTGATGGATTTTTTTTTTTTTTCTTCTTTATCTTCTCTTTCCAGGAAATACACCTAAGTTTGAAGGTTGCATTGGAAAAGTGTCATGAATCTCTCATTAAGACAGCAAAGAGTTTCGAAGCCTCAAGAAAAGAGAGAATTGCTGAACTAAAGACAGGGCTGCTTAGCATTCAGTCTCCTGGAAGTAGTCACTAAGCCTGTCTGCACTTGTGTTCCACTTCCATTATGTTTGTCCTTGTACCTGAACTCAAGAGCTTGTGCTTTGCATGGGGTGGATACTGATTCCAGGCAAAAGCCAGCTTTCTCAAAAACCCATGTCAGAACACGTTTAGCTTTGTAGGCAGATCCTGATGTCATGAGCTCACTAACATGGATAGGAAAACACTCAGTTTCTATTGTTTCAGTCAGTACCTGGTTTTAGTGGTAATATTGCAATTCTTGCTAACCCCAAATTGCTCAAGACTTTGGACAGAATCCTGATTTTTGTAGAAACTGTTCTGTAAGCTTTGCTCTGGGAAGACCTGGTGCCTTGGTCTGGCCTGAAGGTATGGACTGTTCAAGATAAGTCAGTAACAGGTGGTATTCCACTACCATTACTCAATTAAGATGAAATCCTGACAGAGCAGTAGCATCCATGTAGATGCCAAGTTGCTCTCATGACAAATATTGGTAACTGTAAACACACAGGAGTATCATTTTAGTTTACAGTACAGTCTCACTCAATTCCTGAACTTATTTCTGCTCTGTGGGGTATTGAACCCCCATCTGTGTTTATTAAAATGTCTATGTTAGGGTTCTTAATTCTCTTAAAAATTTTAGATTGATATTTTGTACCTTAAGTTGTGATGGCACCCAGTGTGCCACAGTGGTTTTAATTATTTTTAAACATGTTCCTTTTTACAATAGTTGATAAAAGAATATTTAATCCTTTTTCTCTTGTCTCTTCTCTATTCCTCTAACTGACTGGGCATAACATTTCAATTGAAAAACTTTGCTTTGTACATTTTTAGGAATGTGTGCTGCACAGCTTCTTATGATGGAAGGAGGAGGAGGATTCAAACCATCTTTCTAGTTTTAATTCTTCTCCATCTCTTATTAACTAGAGGTGCTTGCACGTCAGTCAGGGACAGCAGGTGATCCTTGCTTCTAAAGCTCTCACTGAGGCATCAAACCCTCCTATGGCTTTGCTCTGAGGTTTTTTTTTTCCTCACACTGTAGCACAGAATTGTTTAGATTGGAAAAACCCTCAAAGATTGGAAAAGTCCAACCATTAACCCAGCACTGCCAACCCCACCACTGAACCATGTCCCCAAGTGCCACAACTACACTTTTAAATACCTCCAGGGATGGGGACCCCACCACTTTCCTGGGTGTGAGACATTTCAGAGGAAGTCAGTGTTAATCTGCAAATTTCAACCTAGTAAAAGCTTCTCACAGTTTTCCCATTTCCATCAAATACAGTCTGTGTGATAGGTGTGTGTATGGCAGCACTTTATGTTTTTAAGTGAGCATACTCTTCATCCCAACAGTTCTGTTGTGTTGTACAGAATTTAGGGAAAGAGTGACTGCTCAGGTGGTTGATTTCTTCCAGCAGCTGAAGATGTTGAGTACATAAAAGGCACAGAAAAATTCTCTTTGGGCTTCATGCTCTACGCCACATGTGGAATAATTACATTCTGGGTATTGTGCTTCAGAAGTGAGTTTTAAATGAATATCACCTCTTGTGCTGTGTATTAAAACATTGTTCTTCTCATGCTCCACTCCTTTGCCGTGGCATGGATTCTAGTGTAACATGGATACTATTTATGGGAAGGTATGGCTTCTCACTGCAGTACTTACCAATGAACTTGATGCCTGTGCAAAATGCTGTGGTAATTTCTTGGTATCTCCAGCCTTATAATACTATGACATTTAAAGACAGATGACTTCATAAAGTTTTCCCTGAGCTTTCTTGTGATATCCCTGCTTCTCATGTCAGTCTAGCCTATATCTCAGCTTGACAAGATGCTGGAAGCCAAGCATTTCTTCTTTTAACTTCTCTGAGAATTTTTGGGGTGTGACTTAACTTTTTTTATTTGGTGATGCTGTAGAGATTCAAAGTGGTATTCTATAGACTTGGTATTCTATAAATATTGCAGTAATATCTCCTTGCTCATAAATACTGTTTGGAGGCTACACTCCACAGCCTGGATATTGCAGGAGCTCTTGGGAAATTCCCAAAAGCTTCCAATAGATACTGCAAGGGATTATTCCAGCCAGCAGATGAAGATTCCTAGGCTGGAGAGATGATGCTTTTGTATCCCAGTGACCAGGAGTTTGCAGCACAAAGAAAAAGCTGGATTCTGGTTCCTGCTCTCATGGGGTTTTGCAACTCTGGCTGTTGGGTAAAATAAAAGGCTGCAATTCATGAAGCAGGAAAACTGTTGATTTCCAGGGACAGATTTTTGTATTTCCAGTAGAGCCTTGTGCCTTCACAGCCACCTGTCTATTTTTACCTAAAGTACTTATAAATAAAACATAAGCAAAGTGTATTTTATCTAGAGATAATTGATTCCTAGGTGTGAGTCTATTGCTGCTTTTCAAAAAACTTCTATCCACCACGAACTATATGGCAGAGTGGGGAATTTAGTGTGGCCTGAAGAGCAGTGAAGGAAGGATGGCTTTGCTAAGGCAATGCAGCTCTCTTTCCCTCAAGAGGGCAGTGTTAGTCAAAATTTTCTTGGGTGGTTTTTTTCTTTTAGTGTTTTTAGTTTTTTTTAGTTTTTCTGTCTAAATTACTGCTTAAATGTGCAGTTTAAATTTTTTTTGCATATGCTTAAGTGTAATACATAATATACGACATAAATTGTAGCATGTTTGCATTGTGCTGCTTGGACTGGCCGCACTTGTTTTGAAATATGTTGAGTTACAAACAGTATTCTGTAAGCAGTTTTTAAAAGAATTTAAACCAACGTTGGTATCTCTGCAAATAGAAAAAGTAGTAGTGGGTAAGATGGGAAGTGTGTGTGAAGCTTAGATTATGGCTTGGCACAGCAAGTGAGCACAAAACTTGAAGAGACTGTGTGATACCTTTTCCCTAGCATGCTTCTGCTTTCCTTGGGAAGGAAGGAATCCTCTTTATCACTCCTCTGTTTTGCCTTTACTCCAGAGCGTGGCTGCAAAGATCTTTAGAGCTCTGTCTCTGAAGCCTGATTTCTGTTAAGCTTTGGATGAGGCGAGCAGGGCTGGGTTAGGTGAGCAAGGTTTGTATTTTCACTTCTGAGACCCTCTTGCAGGGGTATGGGATGAGCTGGAAGAGGAGCTGGTGTACTGGCCACTTGGTGGGGATGTCGGCTCGGAGAGTGGCTGTTGGATTCATGTTCCATTTCTGCCACGCGAAGCCGAAGGAAACTTGCTGAATCTGCGGCTTCAGGGTAACAGCTTTGCAACTCGACACTCATATATTCTAGGACTGGCCAGGACTAGGTAAACTAGAAGTTAAAACTTACTGGCACGTTTCCACCTAAGGATATGACCCTTTTTGCTGCCTGTCCCTGACGGACTTTGCCCTACAGTGCTGCTTTTTGGGTTTGGTCTCACTTGCTACATGGAAGGTAAATGAGTGGAGCTGTTGAAATTTGGAGGTAAACACTCCAGGCAATGCCTTGGGTGAGACAGGTCCTTACAAGTACTAAAACACAATCACTAGAGGTGGATGTTGTTGACTCTGGGAGAAGGGAAGTTGCAGATGTGGGGTTTTTTTCACTGAATAAAGCCTCAGTTTTATTACCATGAGGCTTTTGTCTCTTTTTTCCCCCAAGCAGAAAGAGAACAAGGTGTTTAGGAGCACAGTTTCCTAATGGGTAGCACATCATGCAGTACTTACTGCAAAAAAGAGTTTGGAGGTTGGGACAGTGATATTGTGAAAGGCAATGCACTGAAAAATGTACTTGCAAAGAAAAATTGGCATTAGAGGAAAAAGATGTTGGTTTTGCAAGCTGCAAGTCCAACAGGAGAGGACTGGGCGAGGCCAGTGTTTGTAGAAAATGAGCAAACAAAAGGAGGGAAAACCCAGGTTATATTGAGGTTTCCATAGCAACACAATACTTTTCCTGGAAAACTCAAATGATGAGATCTAATCTATCTGCTATTTAACTCTTGCATGCACAGCCCTCTCCTTTCTCGACTTACCTGTTCTCCTTCACAGCACCCTCTCTAGTGACGAGTGTCCTGTCACTATGCCATAGTGGTCTCCGTGGTGAATGATGTCCCTGGGACACAGTTGTTCCTGTTCTGTTCCCCTGTTCCAAAGCACACACGAAAAGAAAACCTTACAAGGCAGCTTGTGTGTGATGAACTGTGTGTAGGAATGACTTGCCAGGTGTGCTGATCCTGGGGAGCTTCAGTTCCCTGTAGATCCCAGAGAGGATGGGCTAAGCTGGTACTGGGAATTGGTACCTGTCAGGCAGGTACATTGCTGAGGTGTTCCACAGCCTGCAGGGTTTGCTGCATAAGGATGTGTTCTCCATGGAAATGACACAGCTTAGTGCCTGTCTGAGATGTGGAAAACTTTCTGCAACCATTTGGAGAGTTCATCAAAGTAGCCTGTTTTAAATTTGTGCCTGACTTAAATTTGTACTCAGTATTCTGCCAGCTGAAAAGCCTCAGATTTGGGGAATGGGAATCCTTGATGGCAGGGGAGGTTTCTTGTGGAGAAAGGTGGGAGGGTGATAGCTTCTACCTGACAAAAAGGACACCTGAGAGAATTGGTAGCATGGCAAAAATCCATGAGATTACTATTGATCTCAAATACGTAGAAAGGAGCATCTGTTCTTTGTTGAGAGAAGCAGAGAGAGTGGATGTGAGAGAACCCTCCTGGTACAATGGAGAGGGAGTGGATTCTATTCTTCACCACCTGCCCCTAGCAGCACCATCCTTTGCTCCATCCTTGCCTCTGCTGTAGGCCCTGGCAGGCAAAAGGGGCTTGTTCTTGTAGGGATAATGGAAGAGGGAGAATTGCCTTCCTTCGTACCTGAGGTCCCCTGCATGGTAAATTATTACAAAGAGAGGGTGGTAAGGGAAGGCAGGCATCTCAAATGGTGCTGAGTATCTTATCACAGAATCATGGAATGGTTTGGGTTGGAAGGTACCTTAAAGATCATTTTGTTCCCACCTCCTGCCATGGGCAGGGACACCTCCCACTAGATGAGGTTGCTCAGAGCCCTGTCCAACCTGGCCTTCAACATCTCCAGGGATGGAGCGTCCACAGGTTTCTCTGGGCAACCTGTGCCAGGGCCTCACACCCTCACAGGGAAGAATTTTTTCCATACATCCAACCTAAATTTCCCCTCTGTCAGTTTGAATCCATTACTCCTTGTCCTCTCACTACAGTTCCGTGAAATTATGTATGTATATTTAACTGTATCTGGGGTGGAAGAGCTCCAAAGGAGTGAAATTTGGACACCAACTTTCAAGCTGCTCTTTTACCCCTTGCTAACACAGTACAAAAACTGAGGGCATATGAAGATTTGGGGAGACTTCTACTTATTTCTGGGAATCCCCCTCTGCATTTCTGTTGGTTGAAGCTGGAGTGCTGGTCACGTGCTATGGCCTTTGTTTCTGCTGCAGGTGTTAGGGCTGTGGGTGCAGTGCTGGGGTGTGTGGCAGATGTGCAGAGTGGGATATTTTCAGTCCCTTTTGTTAGACCCATTGCTTGAGTGGCCCAAAGTGCAGCAGAGAGAGTCCAAACCTGTGTGATCTCCTGGTTCTGTGCTGCCTGATGGCTTTGGGGGCAGAGCAGAGCCTACAGAGTGTTGTACATTGGATTTCTGTGTGTAGATGGGTGTGTTACAGCCTTGTAAAGGCCCTGTCAGTGGCCAACCCCTGCAGTATTCAGCAGAAACAATATTCTGTTTTAATTGGTGGGCTTCATGGTTTTTTTTTCTCTCTGA